CTGTGCACTGAATTTTGTAAGGTTACTTCTTGAATGAAGTTGGAGAAGGAATTGAATGACTCCTCAGTGTTGAAAGGCAGAGCAGAACAGATTGTCAAATTATGCTCACGGTTTCTAATCGCCAGTGCTATATACCTGTGTTCTGCATGTGTTTCTTGTATGATAAATATCATGGGAATATGATTGACACGGCCTACATAGCATATCACCTGAGAGATGGACTTTTAATCATAATATAAAAGATAGGGGACACCACACATATGTCAAATGATAATTATGAAAGTTGAGTATAGGGTGCATGGGGAGTTTTATTGTTCAATCCATCCCTATATGTCTAAACATTTTTGTAATAATCTTTTTAAAAAAGAAAATGTTGACTGCCTCATAAGGAGAGGGAAAGACCAAAAAGAATGGTTGACAAGGTTGGGACAATCTGTCAAAACTAGATTTGAGCTCTCAGTAAAGACACTTTGGGAGTGTAATTCCTTTGAGGTTGGGACCTTGGAAGGAAAACATTCTATATAACAGGAAAAAAAGGAGGAAAAGAGGAATTGATAGTGAAGTGTTTTTCATGCCAAGTTCCCATATGAATGGCTTCAGTTCTTTTGTGATTTATGAGTCCAATACATCTACTAAGTGGAGATGGCCTCATTTTGAAGAAAGTGCAGAAGGTTTGAAAAAAAATGTGAGTAGTATAGAAGAGTGGATATGGAATCAGTGACCTAAGCTCCATAAGGCTTGTTAACTGAAAGTAAGCATAGAATAATAACTTAGGGGAATGAATGAGTGAATTATTTCTATTTAGTGCTAGTGCGTATCATGAAGTTAGGGTGGTTCTAGTAGATTTATAAGATTTAAATCCAATAGCAATCAGTCACTTATAGGAAGACATTCCTGGAAAAGGTAGAGAGAAGGGGTTTGGCCAGAGAGTAAAGATTAAATGGGATTGAATTAGGCCCATTTGGAGCAGTGCTAAATGTAGGCTGCCTGAGAGATCTTGAGGCCTACCTTGAAGAGGGAAGAAATAAATCAGTAGATGAATAAGTGCAAAAAATAAAGACTGGGAGTTGGAAAGCTGACAAATTGAGGGCCTATACTGGAAGGATAGAGGGTGAGGTCAGAGGGTAGAAAGTCAGGCTATATTACTCCAGTGGCAGAGGTGTTCCTGGACATGGCTGTAAGTGAACTGGAATAGAAGGATCCTAAGATGGGTTAAAAGGAACTAAGAGGTAAGTTATTGGCAGGTCTCTCCAGATGGATGTTGGTGACTGATTCCTTACCCCTGCAAATCCCTTGCCCATGGAACCCCTGCCACTTTTTGTTCTTCCCAGAGCCTCTACAGAGTCTACTGTCTGAAACACTAAGCTTTAGATACTGCAAATCAATGGCATAACTCTGGAGTAAAAGAAATATAGTAGAATGCAGGGGCTTTGGTACATATATCTTTTTCATTTCTATTTTTACATCCAGTAGTCATAAATGTCTCTGGGAAAAAAAAAACAATTCAAGAGTACTCTGAGACAACGAAACCCATTATTTTGTATAATTAAAATGCACTAATTTTGAAAAAAAAAAGCCTCTGGGAAACTCAACCCATTTTTGAGTCTCAATCTGTGCAAGTGCAGTTGCCTTCCCAACAGACCCCTATTTTAACAATGTGTGCTGAATCTTGGTTAAAAGGAGCATTTTGTGCAGGTCTGTGATAAACCCTCAAATATCTGTGACTCTGGTACATGGTCCAGGACTCAATTCTGGACTGTGAGCTGCAGGTGATGGAGGGAGATCTACCACGTCTCCAAGAAGTCCATGAAAGTCAAAAATGACGCCTCCATCCTGGAAATTGAACTGTACACACTAAGTCGAGATCTTGCATGTTGACACCAAGGTTACCCCCTTAACCCCACCCAAAAAGAGGTATGCCATGTTTAACAGCCACACAAACTCATGTACACTTCTGCCAGTATGACTTCAGTAACCACTGTAGCACCTGAAGAGCCTCAGGGACGTGCTGACAGGATCATACTGGGAAAGAGTAGTTGTTCACATGTGGAGGTGATGAGGCATAATCCTTTCTTCCACCAGAAAGGTCATTTTTCCCCTCATTTTTTGTTTTGTTTTGTGTTTCTTTTTTAAATTTTTTTAGTTGTTGATGGTGTTGAGATTTAAACCCAGTGCCTCACACATGAGAGGCAAGCACTTTGTCACTGAACCACAACCCCAGCCTCCTTTCTCTTTTTCTTTAAAGCATCTTTTACTTTATCTCAGCTTTATCTTACCTGAGAGTAAGGTAACTGCCTGGTTAAAATTCCTAACATCAACAGCTGGCTAACCTTTTGCTTTGCAAAAATACCAAGTCCAGGCAGCATGAAAAAGTAACCAGCAAGGGGAAACTCTTCCCTTAAGTGATTTTCCAGTAAGGAGCCCCAATGGCAAGTTCAAAGTATGGTTATTTATAAAATATGCCTTATTAAAAACTTCTTAAGCAGCATCTACCCTGCTCCTAACACCTACCCCAATCACCCAGAATCCACTGCAGCAGTACCCCCAAACATTCTCAAGTTTCACCCTTCTGTATGAACTTCTGATAACTGACATGTTTGTAAAAAATGACTAAGCCACTCTATTAACCATTCTCAAAATTGTTCCTGTCCTTGATTCTCTCCCCCCGCCCCTCCCTCTCATTGTAATTGGACACAATACCTTTATTTTTATGTGGTGCTGAGGATCAAACCCAGCGCCTAGAGGTGAGCGCTTTACCGCTGAGCCAAAACCTAGCCCTTTGACTCTCTTTAGGTATAGAAGACCTATCTTCCTCACTGCAGGGGGAAGGTGTGGGATGCCATATATAATGCCATTAAGGTTAAGCTAAGGGGTAGGAAGCAGTGCCACCTCCTCAGGTTTCAGCAGAAAGAGGAAAGGTGTTTTTTGAAAACATGATATCCCTTCCTTAATGAGAGGTCCAGGAGATTTGGTCACCTTTTTAGAAGTCCAGAGGGGCAATCAATAAAAGCTAAACTACTTTCTCCCCCTTCCCTAAACACAAGGAGTAGGTTGCCCAAAACCCAAACCCCCAACACAAGAAAAGACACCATATATTGTTTAGAAAATTTATTGGGGAAAATCAGTATTCTCAAAAAGGGATTATTTGGGGGGAAGAAAATTTTCTTTCTGAAAATTCTGGAGAAGCATTTTCTGCTTGAACAACATGGACAACTCTCCCAGCACAGTGCCTTTAGCAAAAGGAGCAGCAGCTGGAGCCACCTGACCAACTCTAGGTTTGCATGTAGTATTCAGATGGAGCAAGGGTTCCTTGTGCGGCATGGATGGATGATGCTTCTGACATATCATCTTTTCCTGTACTGTCACACTTTTCTGGGGCTGTCTGCCCCTGTCCATGACCCATCTATTATTCCCTGTAGGATACCTCTGACCGGCAAAACCAACTTCTTGGCTGCAAGATTTGGCACTTGGCACCTTAGCACAGGGAGTCTTGACATTGAAGGCATGTTTCTGGACGGGTTCTGCCTGAACCGGCAGTCCAGTCTTGTGCTCAATTTTCCCAGGCCTCATGGGGCTGGAAAGAGGCTTTTGCGGGGCGGTGGCCTCTACTCCATGCCGACCTGCTAGTTTCTCCTCTAGGATCTTCCCAATGTCTGTCATGATTTTCTGAGCTTCAGTATTTCCAGTAAAGGCAGCTCTCTTAGCTGGGTTTCTGCCTTGCACAGATGATGAAGAGCTGCCCTTTTTCAGAGAACCTTCTTGCCCTTTTCCTTTTATACCAAGATAAAGCCTTTGAAAAAAGTGCTTGAACTGGCTTTTAAAATTGTTTTCAGGAGAAGGTTGTCCCTTCAGTGATGGGGCTGAGGAGGACTTGGTCCCAAGTGCCTCCTTTAATGTTCTGTCTTGAGGGTGGGGGAGCTTCTCTCTAGGTTGGCGTGTCACCAACCCTGCATCCCCTCCACCAAACTCGCCTGTTTGGGGTACCAGAGGGCACACCCTTTTTGATGCTAATGGTACATTCTTATCCTGACACTTACATAAGACATGTGTCGGGATCCAGGGCTCTTGCCCCTGCTCTATGTTGATCCCTCTGTTGTCACAGTGGGCTTGTAGCACCTGAGGAGCTGCCATGTCCCCACTAGAGGCACTATGAAAATGAGTGAAAGTCTTAGAAGTCAAGGTCTTAGAAGTCAAGGTCTTTGAAGTCAAGGTCTTGCACGTCAAGGTCTTGGAAGCTAAGGTCTTAGATGCCAAGGTCTTGGAAGTCAACTTATCTAAGGCCAGAGTCAACTCAGTAGAAAAGCCTGGAACCAGGCCCTGCTCCCTGCTCCCCATTTTCATCTTCAACTCATTAAGCAACTGATTTTTAAGATTTAATGATTCGGAATCTTTGAGAACTGATATTCCTTCTGGGGGCCTTTCAATGGTCAGGGTTGATTCAACTTTACTCATATTCATATCTGTCGCGGAGGAGCTTTCGAAAGACTCTGTGGTCGTCAGGCTATTCGTAGACTGTGATCGAATAGCACAGAGCTCCTTTGCCTTGAATATCTCCCTTGATTTGTTAGACATGGGAAAATATTCTAAATTCTTAATCATTTTTCTCTGAATCTTTTCTATACTATTGCTGGGACTCACTCCCTTATTCCATGATTTGGGTCTGGCCCCAACCTGCTTTGTGGGCAACTTTGGGCTGCATTTATTGGCTATTACAGTCTGTTTCTGACTGTCTTTATCTTTGTCACTGTGGGGGAAGGGCAACGAAGCCCGTCTGTCACCCTCAATTGCCTTGACATTCTCTGTAAGCTCAGGGTTGGTGTGAGAGGGTGAATGTGTTAGGGCCCTCTTATTTTCCTTGCTCACAGGTGAAGTGACAGAAAGAGGATGATCTAGAGTAGGGCCTGAAATCATTGTTCCCACCTTGACTACATGAAAAGTACTAATGCTTTCTTTAATGGGCTTGGAGACCCCAATTTTAGAATCCTTGCCAGAAGTAAGACTGGATGAGGAGGAAATGTTGGAGCGAACTGAGGACCAGGATGGGGTTCCTTTCATTTTGAAGATGTCTATGGATTCCTGGACTTTTTGGGGAAGCCCACACATCATCCTCTTATGAAATAGTTTGATATGGTCTTCCAACATCTTTTGTTTGTTGGAACCAAGGAAGGAAATATCCTGGGCGGTATTGAGGCCCTTCTTGTCCTCACACACCAGTGGTGCCAAATCACTGTGTTTTGTTTGGCTAGGGGATTTCTCAGGACTAGTCAATACCGGCTCCATAGAATGCAATGATCTATTCACAGTGCCAGGCATCTGACACACATTGATTTCCTCAAATTTCTTGCTCAAGTGTGATTCCAGGGCTTCTGTCAGTTGTTTCTGAACTGAGCTCTCCTCTGAGATCTTTGATTTTTTTCCAAAAAGACTATTCAATTCATTTTTTAGGTTTGTCTGAAAGTCAGAGTCCAGATCATTATCTGGAGCCCCCTCTGAGTCACTCAATGGGTCATCTTTTGTGCCAATCTCGGGACTATTTACTTTCTTCACCCTGTCCCCTGGTGGAAGTAATTCTGAGCTCTTCTCATGGGAACTTCTGGGATGGCTCAATTGTAAATCTTTGCTACTTTGACCCTTAAACAAAGAGATCCACGAAAGTCCATAAGTGGACTTTGACTCAGATATCTCGGAAATTTCTGTTTCAGGACTCATCCTTGACAGAGACTCATGGACTCTGCGGGGCAGACCCCACCGGTGTTGAATAAGCCTTTTCCGAAGGTGGTGCTCTAGCTTCTTCCGAAGCTCTTTTTTGAGGGGAAAATCTCCCGGAATGATGGTTGTTGGAGCATAAGCCTTGGAGGAACGTCTATCAGATAAAACAGTGGGAGCTGGAGGACAAAACTCTTCCTTGGATTTTTGGACTACAAAGGGTAGACCCCACACACTTTCCTGTCCTTTCTGTAATACATTATATTCCAAGTCATGAATTTTAGATGGCATGAGAGGCTGTACCTCATCCTGGAATCTATGAATCCTCACTCCACCATCACTAACCTGAGATGGAATAGGTGGTGACAAGCTAGGGACCGAGAATTGAAGCTGGTCCTGGGGTGGAACAGGAGATTGGCCCTGAAGCTGGTCCTGGGGTGGGACAGGAGATTGGCCCAGTGCTTGGGTCAAGGGTTGAGATTGGATCTCAGCCAAGGACAGAGTTGGCGGAGGGGTTAGAACTAGAGATTCAGGGGCTTCAATGGAAGTGGGCATTGAATTGAAGAAGACATCGGTTGAACAGTCACCTGAGACAGGTACTATAGATTTCAAGGACTCACTGTGCAAAGATGGGAGACCCCAGAAGAATTGGGTACATTTTTTAGGTAAGTTATCCTCAAAGGTCTTAGGATCTGAGGACTGGTGGTCTACCTGCAATTCCTCTGATTTGCCTTTACTGCTCTGTGAAGGAAGGGAAACAGGTGAGTCCTGTTGCTCAGCAACTGACTCTAACTTTTTCCCTGAAGAATTCAATTGGCCGTCTGGCTTAAGTTCTTTTGGAAAGGATTTTGTTGCCTTTTCCTTTTTGTTCTGCATCAGGAAATCACCCTTCTTTTTTATATGTCTCTCCAGAAGGGCCAAGACATCAGGGCATAGAAATGAGAGGTTTCCGGTCTCTGCAAGGATGGCTGCAGTAGCACTCTCAAAAGAGGCCTCAGGAGGATGGAGGTCAGTGAGGTTTTTGTCATCATCAGAGGGCTCCAATTTAGATGGAGACAAGTGTTCAGCATGAGACTGGCTTCCAGAGAACTCTGCCACTGGAAGGCTTGCACTGTCAGTGCATGAGGTTGTTGGGACATTAGGAGATAACCCATCAGGGCTATCCACAAAAAAAAAAACAGCAGAAGAGAGAACAACAGGTGCTGCTTCACGACTGTCAGTTGGTGGGGGAAGGGTTGGAACAGGTGGGGGAGGGGTTGGAACAGGTGAGGGAGGGGTTGGAACAGGTGGGGGAGGGGTTGGAACAGCTAGGGGAGGGGTTGGAACAGCTGGGGGAGGGGTTGGAACAGCTGGTTGAAGTGGGATATGATCCACTGGCAATTTTAAACTCATGGGAGAAGACTCTGGTGGCAGAGAGTCATCCCGTAATGAGGGTCCAGGTAGGTCAATTAAAGGGTTAATTTGGTCAGGTGAACGAATAGAGGAAGGAAATAGAGTTGGCTCAGTTAAAGGTGTTGAAACTGAAGCTCCCGGAGGGATTGCAGAAACAACAGCGGACAGAAAAACTGATGACTCTCTCAAGGACGTCACGGAAGACACACGGGACACAGAATTAACAGCATCTTCCAAGGACGCCTTATAGATCAGTTGACTGACCTTAGCTGTTGTTCTATTACACACCCCACAGAGCGGGTCTGGACATAACAGTTGCCGAAAGTGGAGGAAATCATTATTCTGGCTCATGGGACTGCAAGAGACAGAAAGCCAAAGCTGTAACCAGAACCACTACAAGGGAAGCAAGATCTGCAGTTCTATGGGTGGTGGGGAGCCCGCTACCTTCTCTACATTCCACACATCTGTGACCTCACAATACCCTCCCCTCCCAAGTTCTTTATTCACGTATCCATGGCTATGGCTATCCCTCCTGTGATTAGGGCATATTGCAAAGAATTCCTGGGGGACTGAGTACAACATGCCAGGAAAGGAATCAGTAAAGAAGGGAAATGACTAATCACCTTCTCAGAATAGAAAGCAGCTTCCTCCCCTCCTCTGCTTCTCTCCGGCAAGTTCTCCGACCTGGAAAACCAGGACAGTTGGTTATATATAGTAAAGGTAAAAACACAGGTTATCATTCAGGAGTTTTTACAGGAAACAGGATATTAAAGTCAGAAAGCCCTAAAAACCTGCAGATAAGGTCATAAGTGTCAGGGACAATAGTAAGAAGGTTCACAGGTATATGTGGTTCCATTTAGAAAGTACTTTCACCTCTACCATCCTACATGCTGCTCAAAACCACCACCTGAAGCACAAGAGTCAGTAGCTAACTCAGAAATGAATCTAATCAGCCAAGAATTAAAGTAGTTTACACCATGTCACCAGACAGAAATTCTGACTCCAAGGCAATCAGGGGTCTTTGGACCTCTCACAGGGCCACCTACTTGGCAGTAAATGTCCAAGGCCCAGGTCCATCACTACTTCATTCACACCCAAGGAAGGGTGGGCAGGGCAGGGACTCTGAGGAATCTCTCAGGTCTCACTGCCTTCTCCTGAGCCTCTCCTCTGAGACCCTGTTTCCTGAGAGAGACTGCACCTAGAAACTGACATCCTCCAAGATCATGGAGCTGTAGAGAGACAGGAAAGTTCACCCTTATAGAGCTCAGGTTGAACAGGCAGAACCTTACCTTTAAATGCTCCATTTTTCCTTCTTTTTGTTCCCCGACGCTGAAAACAAAAAGAAAAGAATGAGGGGCTGGGGCTCATTTCTTTTACTCCTTTCGTTAACAAGCCTAGACATTCATTAGGCAAGAATTGGACAACTCTTCATTTTTAATTAGTAGAAACTGTATTCCTTCCTTTTATTAATCTTGAAGGGCAATGAAATATTTTCAATTTTTTACTTCTCTGATAATTTCAAAGGACATTTTTGTCTGTTGAGATTCCACCTTTGATGGTCTTAAACCCTCTGCTGAAGATTCTGCTGTTGGCATAGAATCTGATGCCAACAGTCTCCTCTGTGCTCCCCCAGAGAACCCTGTGTCCTGGGGCAGAGCTCAGGCTACAGGCTCTACTCAGAGGTCAGGCACTGCTGTCCTGATCAGCCCCATATGAAGGCTGGGTGAAGAACATCTGACACGGGAATGAGACTCAGAATCTAGTCACAAGAGACCCGTCTCCTTCACTCTATCCAGACCAATCTGGAACCCTCCACCACACCCCATAAGATGGTCTGTGAGCTTCAGATGGAAACCTTAGTCCTTCCTCAACCTCTGGCTTCTTTCCCTAAAGAGTGAAGCTCTATCTTGTCCTCAAGACTTCCCAAGTCACATCTTTTTTGAGCCAACCAAAACATTTAGTAATGTGAGCATGGAGATAACAAATCCCCTTTGACATTTCACAAAACATTTCACATTTGACAAAAACCAAGAAACTCCCTTGGGAGTTCTCTCTGCTTCCTTACCTTCTGGATGGCTTTATCTTTCTTGAGTGTTGGTGAAAATAGTTTCAATACCTGAAAGGACAGGTATAGAAAAAGCAATACCAACCCACTCAAAATGGCACTTTTGGGATCAATATCCCAAAGAATTGAACCAAGATCAACCATGGTTCAGTAAGGCTATTCAGCAAAGAGAGAACATTCTTCATTGTCTGAATCGCTCGATTGCCTAAGGCAAATGACTTCTGAGGCTGCCTGGGCCTCCTTATATCTCCGCGCTTGCATCACACACCATTGAGGAGTCACAAAGGGAAAGGGTTCTGAGGGCGGGGAGAGAAGACTGGAGGAGGTTGTGCCCCTCCTCCACCTGCCCACCAGCCAGCAGATCCCCCTGGCTCAGGTCTGTTGTTCCATTTCCCAGTCCACTCTTCCCTCATGTCAAGCCTTCATTACCTCAGGGAGCATTCCTGTTTGTTTCATGTGTGTAACCAAGATGTTTGACATGAGTCCCCTTTTTACTGTTTGGATCCCTTGACTTACACCCCCACCAAGTCCACTGCCTTGAAAATCTGACATACACTGCCTGGAATTTTTGCTTGTACCAAGACATTTACACTCTTGGGTCACCTACATCCTTAAATCTATCATCTACAGAAAGCTTCTGCTTTACTCTAACTCACATGTAAAACTTAATGTTCTTTCCATACTTAGGTAGTTTTATAAGTTTCAATAGCAGATTTTTGTTTCAATCAGCCTGTAGTGTCTTCGATCACAGTGGCTGACTCTCGTTAAAACTAATAATTTGTTAGTCAACACTCTTGAAACAAAAATAAACATAAAAAGAATCTAAATAAAATTGAAACTTCAAGTGATCTTGGAGATAAGTTTATAACGCTTGTTTTTTTTCTGAAGTAGTGAAGATTAAACATAACAGACTATTGGATGTGCTCTATTTCCCGCCCCCTGACAAATTGATCCAGTGTTTTCAAATCTGATAATCGACCATCTCATTTTTTTTTTCAATTCTTCATTCATGATTTTGATCTAACTTGCTTCTAGCTACCTAAAATTCAAATGGTCCCTGCCTCCATATCAATTTCATAATGCTTATATGACTTTCTCAAACCAGGAAGAGGTTATGGTGTGCTAAGGAATTGAACCCTCAGTCCTTGGTGGCAGGAAGCCACCTAAAATCAGAACCTTAGGGCAGATTCTAGTCTTGAAGAGCATTACCCTTGTGGGACACATAATTTTGATATTTTCCTAAGAAAATAAGAGTGTCTTGCCACGAAAAAAGCTATTAAGATCTGTGCTATATAAACACCCTACTACTAATGGAAAATCAACTGCCTATCATACATGATTCAAGCAAAACTTTTGATATTTAAATAGCCCCAATATTGCCCCAGCCTCCTTCTTACACCTGCTTTTTAAAACCCTTTATCATCATGTCAGTTATCCTCCTAACTGTCCCCTAACTTGTCATGACTTTTTTAAACCCTGAAACCTCTTATCTGATGCCCATAACCCAGCAGCATTATTGATCTCTTTGACAGGATAAGGCAGCCTCCAAGCCAAGCAGTCTCTATTCAGTTAGGCAGGAGCAGGTACCCTGCCTTGAAGATCCCCCATCCTTTTGATATGCAGCCTCAGTCAGGTTTCCATTTAACAAATATTTACTAGTGAAGACTAGGAGACATGGACAGCTGTAAGTCACAGGCTCTGCCCTTATCCTTAAGGAGCTCCTGTTGAGACTGTAGAGATAAGTCCTACACAGTGGAAAAGCTGTACAAAGGCAGGGGAAAGGTCCAGAACCCCTTAGCATTTGTTAATTCCCAAGAGATTTGTGGAGTAGATCAGAGACTGTGGGTGTTAACAGCTAGAACACATCATGCTCTGTACCAAGGCTTCCCTGCCTGTCTCCCCAGTTTTCTGAAACAAAATCACAATCCTTTGGCAAGATAAAGAAAATCTTTCCTCCCTCTCTCTCTCTCTCTCTCTCTCTCTCTCTCTCTCTCTCTCTCTCGCAGGGGGTGGGTACTGGGGATTGAACTCAGGGGCACTCGACCACTAAGCCCCATCCCCAGCCTTATTTTGTATTTGAGATAGGATCTCATTGAGTTTCTTAGCACCTCCCCATTGCTGAGGCTGACTTAGAACTCATGATCCTCCTGTCTCAGCCTCCCAAGCTGCTGGGGATCACAAGCATGTGCCATAGTGCCCAGCACCTGTTCTCTTTAAAATGGCATTGTTGGCTATGTATTCTTTTTTTTTTTTCAGAAGAAGATATATTTAATTTTATTTTTTCATATTTTATTGTTACATTATAGTTATACATAATGGTAGGATTCATTGTTACATATCCATACATGCACACAATATAACAATATAACTTGGCCAATATCATTCCCCAAGATTTCCCCTTTTCCTCACTTTCTCCCTTCCACTGGTCCCTTTCCTCTACTCTTCTGATCTTCCTTCGATTTTTCATGAGATTCTCCTCAATCATTCTTTTCCTCTTTCCTCTATAGTTTCTACATGAGAGAAAAAAAGCACACAACCCTTGACTTTCTGAGTTTGGCTTATTTTAGTTAACATAATATTCTCAAGTTCCATCCATTTTCCTGAAAATGACATAATTTAAAACTCCTCCGTGTATGTACGCCAGAGATTCCTTTCACAGATTCACAGATCCATTCATCCATGTTGAACACCTAGGCTGGGTCAATAGTTTGACTATTGTGAATTGTGCTGCTATAGTATATTTCTTAGGATAAATGCCAAGGAGTGGTATAGCTGGATCATAAGGTGTTCACATGCCTAGTCTTTAGAGGAACCTCCATACTGATTTTCATAAAGGTTGTACTAATTTACAAGCCTACCAGAAGGATAAAAGTATTTCTTTTAAAAAATAAATGTTGGCAAGGATGTGAGAGAAAAATATATAATCATCCATTGTTGGCGGAACCAACCTAGGTGTACTTCAACAAATGAATGGATAAAGAAAATGTGGTATATATACACAATGTAATTTTACTCAGCCATAAAGAAGAATTATGGCATTGTAGAGGTCTTTCACCTCCTTGGTTAGATTTATTCCTAAGGTCATTGGGTTTTGAGATTTTTTGGTTTATTTTTTGTTTGTTTGGGGGGGGGTTAGCTATATTGGATAAGATTTCTCAGCAGATTCATTATTGATATAGAAGAAAATTATTGACTTTTGTATGTTGATTTTTTTAACCTGTTACTTAGTTGAATTTATTAATTCTAGCCATCTTCTGGTAAATATTTGTGGATCTTGTAAGTATAGGTTCATATCTGCAAACATATAAAATATCTGATAATTTGACTTCTTCCTCTCTTATTTTTATCCCTTTTTTTCCCTTCTCTTGCCTAATTGCTCTGACTATAATTCCTAGCACTACATTTGATTAAAGTGGTAAGAGCAGTCACCCTTGTCCCAAATCTTAAAGGAAATACTTTCAATTTTCCTCTGTTCACAAAGATATTGGTTTTAGATTTGTCTTGCATAGCCTTTATGATGTCAACATAAGATCATTCTATCCTAGGCTAAAGAAAAATTAAAGGGACATGAATAGGAAAAGAAGAGTTCAAACTATCCCTATTTGCCAATGACATGACTCATGATTCTCTATTTAGGAAAAAAAAAACTCTACCAAAAACTTTTTAGAACTCATAAACAAATTCAACAAAATAGCAGGATATAAAATTAACACCCATAAATAAATTGTGTTCCTATACACCAATGATAAATTAGTTAAATAATTAGGAAAGCTATCCCATTCATAATAGCCTCAAAAAAAGAGAAGTACTTGGAAATCAATCTAACAGTAGAGGTGCTAATTAATTTTGCTTATCCCCCATGTTCGTGGATAAGCAAAATTAATATTATCAAAATGGTCATGCTCCCAGAAGCACTATACAGATTTAATATAATTCCAATGATGTTCTTCATAGAAATGGAAAAAGCAGTTATGAAATTTATTTGGACAAACAAGAAGCCCAGAATAGCCAAAGCAATCCTTAGTGAGAAAAGTGATGCAGGAGGCATCACAACACCAGATTTTACATTATACTGCAGAGCCATAGTAACAAAAATGGCATGGTACTGGCACCAAAACAGACATGAAGACCAATGGTACAGAATAGAAGACACAGAGACAAACCCACATAAAAACAGTCTCCTCACACTAGACAAAGGCACTATAAGCATACATTGGAGAAAAGATAGCCTCTCCAACAAATGGTGCTGGGAAAACTGAAAGTCTGTGCATATCAAAATGAAATTAAACCCCTATCTCTCACCCTGCACAAAACTTAACCTGAAGTGGATCAAGAACCTAGGCATTAGACCTGAGACCCTGAACCTACTAGAAGAAAAAGCAGGTCCAAATCTCCATCATTCAGCTTAGGAACCAACTTCCTCAATAAGACTCCTAAGACACAAGAAGTAAAATTAAGAATCAATAAATAGGATGGTATCAAATTAAAAACTTTTTCACAGCAAAGGAAATAAGAATGTGAAGAGAGAGCCTATGGAATGAGAGAAAAATCTTTGCCACCTGCAACATACAGACACACACACACACACACACACACACACTAATCTCCAGGATATATAAAGAACTCAAAAACTTAACACCAAAACCACAAATAACCCATCAATAAATGGGCAAAGGACTTGAGCAGACACTTCACAGAAGAAGAATTATGACCAATCAACAAATATATGAAAAAATTTTCAACATCTCTAGCATTTAAAGAAATGCAAATTAAGACTACATTAAGATTTTCATCTCACTCCAGTCAGATGGCAATTATCAAGGGTGAAGATGTGGCTGAGTGGCAGAGCACTTGCTTTGCATGTGTGAAGCACTAGGTTCGATCCTTAGCACCACATAAAAGCTAAATAAATAAATGAAGGAATGCTGTCCATGTACAACTATAAAAAAGAAAAGAAAAATGTGGAATATATACACAATGGAATATTACTCGGTCATGAAGAAAACTAATGGCATTTTCCAGCAAATGGATGGAACTGGAAACTATCATGCTAAGTGAAATAAGCCAATTCCACAAATACAAAAGCTGAATGTTCTCTCTGATATGTGGATGCCACACACAATAAGGGGTGCAGGGTTGGTAGGAAGAATAGAAGTTCATTGGATTAAACAAAGAAGAATGAAGGGAGGGGGAATGGGAATAGGAAAGACCATAGAATGAATCAGACATAAC